ATGTCTTTTGGTTGGAGCATTTAATCCATTTACATTTAAGGTAGTTATCGATATGTATGTTCCTATTCCCATTTTCTTAATTGTTTTGGGTTTGTTATTTTAGGTCTTTTCCTTCTCTTGTGTTTCCTGCCTAGAGAAGTTCCTTTAGCATTTGTTGTAAAGCTGGTTTGGTGGTGCTGAATTCTCTTAGCTTTTGTTTGTCTGTAAAGGTTTTATTTCTCCATCAAATCTGAATGAGATCCTTGCTGGTTAGAGTAATCTTGGTTGTAGATTTTTTTTCCCTTTTTTTTTTTTTTTTTGTGGTACGCGGGCCTCTCACTGTTGTGGCCTCTCCCATTGCGGAGCACAGGCTCCAGATGCACAGGCTCAGCAGCCATGGCTCACGGCCCAGCCGCTCTGCAGCATGTGGGATCTTCCTGGACCGGGGCACGAATCCGTGTCCCCTGCATCAGCAGGCAGACTCTAAACCACTGCACCACCAGGGAAGCCCCTTGGTTGTAGTTTTTTCCCTTTCATCACTTTAAATGTGTCCTGCCACTCCCTTCTGGTTTGCAGAGTTTCTGCGGAAAGATCAGCTGTTAACTTTATGTGGATTTCCTTGTATGTTATTTGTTTCTTTTCCTTTGCTGCTTTTAATATTTTTTTCTGTATTTAATTTTTGATAGTTTGATTAATATGTGTCTTGGTGCGTTTCTCCTTGGATTTATCGTGTATGAGACTCCCTCCACTTCCTGGACTTGGGTGGCTACTTCCTTTCCCAAATTAGGGAAGTTTTCAACTATAATCTCTTCAAATATTTTCTCAGTCCCTTTCTTTTTCTCTTCTTTCTTCTGAGACCCCTATAATTCAAATGTTGGTGTGTTTAATGTTGTCCCAGAAGTCTCTGAGACTGTCCTCAATTCTTTTCATTCTTTTTTCTTTATTCTGCTCTGCGGTAGTTATTGTCACTATTTTATCTTCCAGGTCACTTATCTGTTTTTCTGCCTCAGTTATTCTGCTATTATTCCTTCTAGAGAATTTTTAATTTCATTTATTGTGTTGTTCATCCTTTTTTGTTTGCTCTTTAGTTCTTTTAGGTCCTTGTTAAACGTTTCTTGTATTTTCTCCATTCTATTTCCAAGATTTGGGATCATCTCTACTATCATTATTCTGAATTCTTTTTCAGGTAGACTGCCTATTTCCTCTTCATTTGTTTGGTCTGGTGGGTTTTTACCTTGCTCCTTCATCTGCTGTGTATTTCTCTGTCTTCTCATTTTAGTTAACTTACTGTGTTTGGGGTCTCCTTTTTGCAGGCTGTAAGTTCATAGTTCCCGTTGTTTTTGGTGTCTGTCCACAGTGGCTAAAGTTGGTTCAGTGGGTTGTGTAGGCTTCCTGGTGGAGGGGACTGGCGCCTGTGTTCTGGTGGATGAGGCTGGATCTTGTCTTTCTGGTGACATCCCTTAAACTTATCTGTAGAATGAATGAACTGAATATTTGGTGAATTTTATATCCTATTAATTGCTCTATTTTTAGGGTGTGGACCCTAGCCACTAATTATTATTATTACTATTGCTTTAATACTGCTATTACTGCTTTTAATAGCAAGGAAGCTGGAGAAAGTGGGTGTTGGACTAAGTGTTGGGAGATCCAAGCTTGGTCACCTTTCTTATCAGTGTCCCTGGAGTGTCTGCCTCAAAGTTTTTAGGGTTCAGTTACATGACCCTGGCATACATAACTTTTGCCTGGGAAGAGAGGCCTCCAGATGAAGAGCAGAACAGCTCCAGCAAGAATGTCAGCAGAAAGGGCATATTCAAGGACACAGCCTGGTTTTATCCATACATGGAATAGGTAGTTCTCAACACAAAGTGCTTAAGGGCCACTGGATAGATCCACTTTTCCCTCTGAAATATTTCCCTCACTGCTATGTGAAATAGGACCACTCAGGGAAGAGCACAACAAGCTCTATAAGTGTAAGGAGGTAGCATGGAGCCATGCAAAGGAGTCCTGTCCTTGGAGTCAAAGACTTGGATTGCAAGGTTGGTTCTTCCATAGAATTAGCCTCTCAAACCTAGGGCTTATCCAAGTTATAATTAACACAACAAGATCAATGGATACACTCCCCACGAAGCAAACTAGGAGCTTCGGCTGGAGATATTTGGGGAGCATGGCCTCTCCAGTTTGCCACAGGACACGCAGCAAGGTTGGTGGCTGTGGTAATCAATCCGTTCAAGGTGAGGCTGTGGGGAGCCCTGAGTAGGGCTTAGCAAGCCTCTCATAGCCGAGCCCATATCAAGCTAATACTCCAGCACCATGCCTTATGCTGTTCCCCAAATGGCCTCTTACAGATCACATCACCCAAATCTAACATCTTGGTCATGGGTCCAATCTCTTACCAGCTCCCAGCACCATCTTGCTATGCTGCTACCAGGTCACAGAATAACCACGATGCATCCCACATGCAGGGTCACCTGATGAGCATGGAGCAACAGACTGTCCTTAGTGGGGGACATGCAGTCTGTTATCTGCAGACCCAGATGCATGAGCCAGAGCCCCCCATGGCCACTTACTGGGTGTGTAGTCTCAGGTGTGTGAAATGGTGGCAGCAATACCTACATCCGGGGACCACGGTTAGAATGGATAAAATCAGGCACACCTAGCATGATGCCCAGTGAGTAGGTGCCCAGTGAAGGTGAGTGGTTTACTAGTTTCAGTCTATTCCTTTGGGCTGGGCACTACCTTACCCCAGGCTATTCTTGAGAAAAATGTAGTGAGTTACATCTTTGCTTAAACATGCTCAGAGGCCTCCTTCCTCGTTGGCTAGAGGGGCACGCATCACTGGAGTGAGTGGGAAGGGGCAAGATCAGGTCGGGGGTGGGGTCCTTGGAGACAAACTGCCAACCTTTCATTTTGCTCATGACCATCTTGCCCTGCTGAGCTGGGAGGGAACACACTTGTGAACAGCTTGGGGGAGTGGGGTGGAGATTCCAGTGGTGGGAAAAGAGGGCTTGAGGGAATTATACCCACAAAACCCAACCCACCACAGCAGTTGATTATTTTTCTCATTTTGAAAAACTATTTTAGGGAACTTTTTGGCTCTAAATACTCCAGGCATACTATTTTGCTGCTGGTGTTTTAATCACAAGAATGCTCTAATATTAAAGTCAATTTTAACAGATTAAAAAAATCCATTTGTATTCACATCACCCTAAGCCTCAGCTGTTTTGACATTTCTGAGTCCTTGCACAGTCCTTGCCCATAAAACCGGGTAATGCTGCCAGCAAAAAATAACTTATGCATAATGCATTTTAGTCTGTAAACGAAATCAGATGATTTTAGGTTTTGGAAAGCTTGTATTGGTGAATGTGTTTATATTTCACTTTCTCCTGCATTTCTACCTACCTCTCTGCATCCCCTCCCCCAAATTTGAAATAAAAACATTCTCTTATACAAGCCAACATTTTCCCATGGCTTGTTTGTTTCTAGAAATTTTGCACCTTTCAGATCTTTCTACTGTTTCCCCCCTACCTCCTCCCATTCCAGGAATTTTTGTCCCCAGTGGCTAACGGTGGCCAAGGTTGGAAGCTGGCTGAGAAGCAAGACCTCAGTGTAAATTTTGGCTTCGTTACTTATTATTCACCATGTGTACTTCAGCTTGGTTTCCTCATCTGTAAAATGATGACACTAATATTTATCTGAGAGGATTATTCTGAGGAGTAAATAAGAGAAAGTATTTTACATGATGCATTTATTTGGACCATTGGTTAAGTGGTAACTGTATTAATTTCCTAGGGATGCCGTAACAAATTACCATAAACTGAACAGCTTAAAGCAGCAGAAATTTATTCTCTCACAGCTAAGCAGCCCAGAAGTCTGAAATCAAGGTGTCAACAGGATTGGTTCCTTCCAGAGACTCTGAGGGAGAATCTGCTCCAGGCCTACCTCCTGGTATCTGGGGGTTGCTTGCCATGCCTTGGCTTGTAGCTACATCACTTCAGTTTGTGCCTCTTTCCTAACATGGACTTCTTCCTTCTGTGTGTGTCTCTGTGTCCTATCCTGTTCTTATAAGGACACCACTCACTACACTTGGGGCCCACTCTAATCCAGCACGACCTCCTCTTAACTAATTACATTTACAAAGACTCTATTTGCAGACAAGCTACATTCTGAGGTTCTGGGTGGCCATGAATTTGGGGGGGGGCACTATTCAACCCCTACAGGAACCATCATTATGGAAGCATAAAGAATATGACCCACTGCTCTCCTCTGTGCTGGCAAAATCCTGCAGAGTGTCAAGGAGACCTTAGAGTGTCCTGAGGCTTTCCTGGAAGAAACACATTTTCTCTGACATCATAACATTCCCTGTTTGTAATGCAGCCCAAGGTAATTCACAGGCCTGCCCTGAGTCTCTCACTACCTTCTCTGTGAAATGGGAGTCATTCTATCGAGCATGATGTACTGATCGACCCTCTCCATGACGCCCACAGCATCCAGTAATAATAAGTCATTGTCCGTGAGATTCCTTAGGGATGTGGGGAGAGCTGGCATGATTTTGGAGTTCTCATGCACACTCCATTCTCAATGGCCTCTGAATCAAACACTGACACGGAGAAGGAAAATAAATTCTTAGACACTCCCTGGCCCTTGTAAGACAAAGGATGCCATGGCCAGACTGGGTCCTCCAAGGGGTGTCTGTCTTCTAAGGCATCACATTTCCCTCTCCCTGGCTCTTCACAAAGGCTGGGAGAAACCAGAAAGGAAGCAGAGAGACAAAAGAAAGACAGCAGCGTTATTTCCAGAATGACAGAAGCAGATTTCATGGTTGTTTGCTGGTGGTTGTTTTCTTGGCTTTGAGATGATCTCGCATTCCTGTTTCCAGCTCTTGGCAAGAGTCTTCATTCTCGGGGAGTGACTGGGTTCCAGTGTTGCCCTGAGCTACGAGTTGAAGCCACAGACCAAGCTGCTAAGTCCTTGTTTCCAAGGCTTTGTGCTCATGTCACTTTGCATCCTTTTTAAATCTGCAGTGGGACATGCACTACACCTAATCCACTTACCTGCTACAAGCAACGTGGCAGAGAATTCTCCACCTGAGACTTCAGTGCACAAGTTTTCTGTGAAATTATCAGCATCACTGTCACCTGTGATCCCAGGGTTCCCCCTAATCAACTCAAGTCCCCTCACTGAGGCCTTCAGGGTGAACTGGCTGTCAGACACTGACTTTGAGGTAAGCACCATCTTACTCCCAATAGGAGCTGCTCACAAAGAGGGGTCCTGAAGATGGGGTGGATGGGATTCTGGATCAGTGATCATTTCCTCCTCTTTCC